TATATCGAAACAAGACAAATACATGAATAAAAAATCAAAACTAAACACTTCAATATCATTTAATTTTAAAACTGTTAAACTGTTTTCAGATTTAAATTTAAATTTTTTTTTACAGTTTTTGAAGTATTTGTAATGAATGCCAATGTTATGTTTACTAGATATTATTTTCAAGTACATGTCAAAGCAAAAGATATGAAACTATTATAAATGGCTTTAATAAGACCCCAAGCTGTGCAAACGATTTATTTCTAACAAAATCATGACATGCCTATATTAGTAATAAATTTAAATCGAATAAAGTCAAGTTGTTGATAAAATATGGTAATTTACCAACACAATCACTTTCTTGGTGCAAATTCGATGGAATTAATTAAGATACTCTGAACCTTGATTAATGTGTATTTAAGTCAGTGAATAATTTTTTAAAATTATCTTTTTTTTTCTTTCAAGTATGAAAATAAAGCGACCATCGTCCATCCTTCACGATCTGCACAAACCCATTGTTAAAAACCCATCTCCACACCCACCATCACCTCTTATTACACACTCAAAGTTTTTTTTCACCTCCCGCATCCGTTTTATACCTGGATGGTACAACCTATCTCACTATCCCTTTACGGCTCATAAATAAAACGGAATATTTTGACAGGACCTAATGTAAATGCTGCGATATAACTCAGCATCTTATATCTTGTAACAGGTTGTGGAAGAAAAAAAATGTTTGTTTTATTTATGTCGTGTGTGTGCACTAGGGCTGTTGATATAGCGCGTAGTTTCGACTAATTTCAGGTAATCAAGACACTTAGCTCCGTCGTAAAAAAACGGTCAGGGCTATTATGGAATTTTATTGGTGCTTAAACGACTATATGTACAGAGTGGCCCATTTTATGTGAATTTGATAGGTATTTTGCAAAATTTGAGACACCTGAAGAGGTCTAGACGGGTGATAAAATTCCAGAAAATAATTTCTTTCATCCTAACAGGAAATAAAGTGGTATTTTATTCCCTCGTTTTTGACTAATAATCTGGTTCTTTATTTTCTCGGGAATAAAGTAAATTAAATACCAATTTAAACTCTTAAAATAAACTGGGATTAAATGGATTAAATGTTTTGAGTGTTTTTTGATTTAAACACAGGCCTTGATAACGATTTTTACTCTTTTAAAATTTCATTTGAATGAATTGAATATTTTCACAAATTATTTGACATTATTTAGCAATTTTATCATTTTCTTATGTTATTAATTTAGGTAGTTTGTTGGTAGGAAAGTTTTGTATGCATAGTTAATCCCTCGAATGAAAATGCCCATTACCTACATTCTCATCAGGATTAAAATTGTTGTTTATTCCCTTGATACATAATTAACCATTATGCACTTTGTTCTACATTTCTGAGTTTCTTCTCGTTTTTTTTTCTAAGTTTAGTTAGTTTTCTAAGTTAGTCTAGTTATTTGGTAACTAAAAATAAGAATAAATTGGACATTGCAAGGAAAATTTATGGTAAAGGTATTTTAAAGCATAGACAACCAATACAACAACATCGTGTGGAATGTAAATAACAATGAAAATAATAACTTATTTTTATCATTTATTAGAGTAATTTTATCAAGAAATTACAGTGAACTGATTGAAATTTGAGCACCTTATTTGAAACAAAAATAGTTATTAACTGTAATAAGAGTAATTTCCTTTCAGCTTTTCGGGTAGTTAATCAAAACAAATTTCAACAAGCGTAAGAAATTCGTTTAATTCTCTTTGTGCTTTAACGTGGGAAAATCCAAAATTTAATGGTGCATTTTAATAATAATAATAATTTGATAATGATTATTGCACTCGGAAGACATTAAAAAAAATAGTTTTTTGGTTTCTTGTTTCTTGCTTTCTAAAATGTAATACATGATGACAAAATTAGACAAAATTTCCCTAAGTTGATAAAAATGACTTCATTCATTTCATTTTTTATTGCTCTCTGTTTCTTCTTTCGTATTCATGATTGATTTATCATCGAATCAAGTATCGAATCAGTTAAAACACTGACCTACCTACCCAAAAGCTTCATCGTGCAATAAACCTGCAATGGTATAAATGAAGCTAGTTCCACAATTAAGCCCGTGTACTTTACGGAAACATTAGCAACAATTACGGTACTGACCACCTTCTACGTACCTTGTTATTATTTATACATTCCGCACTTATTCTCTCCATTTATCATCGGCAATCGGCCAACAAAGCGGCCCTAATCAGACTTGATCCTTGTAACGATTTATCAACACATTCATTCATTTACGAAATATTCAACTTCCGTGTTTTTCCCATGACTGTTGTTTGCATTTGTGGCGTGTGTCGGACCCATTAACCAATTTTATAACGAATGCATTTAGACCGACGATAAATTCGGACGAGTGGGTTTGGCCGAAGATATTTTTATTTCGGATTGTTGGAGATTTTCAACAGTCATAACTTTATAATTGACAGAAACGGAGCCATTTGAATATTGTAATTGGGCGTTTTGCGATTGAATTGACACAGATTGAGGAATATTTATTATAGGGAACTGCAGTGGCGTAACAATATGCTAAAGACCGGAATATTTTTCTCGTTTGAACCTTTTTAAATAAAAGAATGTTTCCCAAGAGTAAATAACAAGCAATCGTTAAAGTGTTGCAACAGCCGCCAAATTTTTAAAAAATAACCTCTTGTTTTTCTCTGTGTTTTAATGTACCTTTTAACAACAAATAAAAACAATTGCTTAACAGTTTTTAAGTAAGATTATTTCATAATAACGTTTGAAATGAGGCATGACTAATATTTTAAGAAGAGAATAATTTGACAGACAGCTCGATTTTAATTAAGCTTATTAGGCTATTCTCTAAAAATCTGCTATAGTCTATAAGCTGGTATATTCCATAGCTAATAGAGCTCTGTATATAAATTTTTTAAAGTCCTTATAGAATCGTATCAAAATTGGTATTCTCTAAGCGTCTATGTAAACATTCGAGTTATAGCGCTGTAATTACCCTAAAGTCTGGTTTTTATTAAGTGGAAATGTCAAACAGTCTTAACAAATTTATTCATGGTAATTTTTGGATGTTGGCAGTTCTAGTTTTTAATTTAATTAATAAAAAATGGCATTCAGCAAAAAAATCGTCTAAGAAAATTTAAAAATGAAAACACAAAAACGGGAACAAATTGAGTATCACGAACAGTTTTTGGAAATTTGAAGACGAAAAGTCAGAAAAAGACTACCGCTAAAATTTAGACACAATTTGTAATGTAAATTTGCTAAACATTCTCTAATTTTTAGTAAGAAATTAATGAGAATACAACATAAACATCAAAGAGAAAAAAACGTAATTAAATTAGTAGGATTGTTTGCAACGTTTTTGAAGAACGAGTTGAAGAAGTAACAATTTTGAAACTAAAGCCGAAGGAGAATTTAGAAAATGCATCAACTTTGAGCTCATATTAATAAATTACACAAAAATTTATTACCGATTTTCATAAAACCTGCTTGTACCTTTTACAAAATAACTTTTTTCTAAATAGACACTCTTTTTATTAAAGATTTTGTTGTAAGAAGCTCATTATTGTCCACAACATTACCTTCTTTTTTCTTCATTTAATAATAAATATAATGCAATTAGTGCAATATTATTACGATCCATCACTGAACTATTATTAACTTTACACGATACCAATAATTATAAGAGAACAAAAATTAGCATCACTGGCGAAATACGGAGAGAAGTACTTATAATAAATTATTGAGGAGTGACATTGTTACTATGACAATATATCGTTATAGAGACATAAGTCTTTACGGTCAGCAAATTTCTCGCCATAACTTTATAGAGACTTTAAGCTTATAGAATTTTAGGTATAGAGAAATATTTCCTTAGAGAATTCGATTTTTACTTATAGTCGATAGCTTAAAGAGTTATAGCGCTATAGCACGTATTTTTTTTTACAGAATAGCACCATTAACCTCTTATATTTCTCTAATTATTTCTGGTTGGAAATAATTACGCAATGCAGAAACACAGAACAGTTATATTATTCTCATTTTTTGAAAAAAAAAATGATAAAAAAAGATTTCGATTTATTGTGCTTATTAGAATTAGTGAAGAATTGTTGGAAGCAAAACTTTATGGCGCTGCGCCTCCACACCCCCAGCCCATGTCTCTTCAATCCAATATATTCATTCATAGACAAAAAGAAATATACAGGGTGCGCCAGAACTCGCGCCCCAGAGAAAAATGCCATATAAGGTAAGATACCAGGAACATGAAAAATTATCTATAAAAATTTCGAAATTATGAGAGTTTAAATTTTGCACTTTTTATTTATTTATTTTGCACTATTTATTTCTGTTGAAATATTTTTTTAAGTTTTTTTGCTATAGGTTATTAGAAGAGGAAACAAGGAAGCTGTATTCTAAATTGTAACTCTGTTCAATGTTATTTGTGGCTTCTATTGGCAAAATTTTTGTACCTTTACTAAATAATTGTAAAAAAAAACATACACAAGTATCATTAAATAGAATTAAATAGACATAAAAAAATAAATGTCAAAATTTTTTGACAGATACAATTTTTAAACATTTTTTCCAGGTTCCTGGTATATCCTATATATCCTATCTTACTTGAAATTTTTCTCTGGGGCGCGAGTTCTGGCGCACCCTGTATTTTATTTTTCGTGTTTCTACAACGTTTCATCCAATTTTCTAAGGGTGTTGGACCTTTAGAAATGCATTTGAATCAATTTTTAGATTTTTGACAAAATGTTAGACGATTTTTCGTACCTCTTTACTCGACGAGCTAACTCTCATGACTGGGAGTGGGTATACCTTTTGCTAACTTAAACCTATACACTTTCTTATTTTTCGCCTTATTATTTTAAAACAAACGCAGCCAATGCCTGTCATATAGCAAACCTCAGCAGGCTCAACACTCTCGTTATATTATTTTTCCCATCCACCGGCTATTAACCCTTCCACTCACCTTAACACGTTCCAACAATTTCGCAGCCTGTATGCAGAATTCATTCTCAAATCTGTGTAAACATCCATGATATTCGCAGACGAGCAAATCCCTCGCCTGTCTGACCAAACACTTCTTCGACCGTTGAAAATTCTCATACAAATCCCCGAAATACTTCTCCACCAAACTGGCCACATCGCTCTTGACCTGCAACAAAACCACCATTAGGGAGGGTCCACAACACAACCCTTATTTGTGAGCCAGCCACGCGACGGATAGTAATATTTATCTCGCCGGAAATCCGAAACGTGATGAACCGTTTCCGGCTAGACGAAAATTCGGTATTGTTTAGTCTGTTGATCGTAGAGCACGAAGTTGGGTGCAATTAGGGTTATTGTTGCTTTCATTATCATTTATTCACGTTTCTTGAAGCGAATTATCAAGACTGAAAGTTTTGACGGGCGCGAGGCTATTGATGCTCGATGACTAATGGCAGACAGGAAAGCGAGATTTTAGTGATTTATTCTGATTAAGGGGCTATTTTTTATGGGAGAATTTCGTGAGTTTGCTCGGGGAAGTGTTGCAAAAAATAAAATCAATAAATTCACTTAATGGAGAAATTGGCCAATTTGGAAATTTTCATGGGCGAAGCGGTTTTTGCCTCATTAGACAAATTATTGCAGGAATTTATTGCAACAATTTCTTTATGAACTAAAAAAATCAACGGTTTTATTTACATTTTTTATCATAACCTCTAAAAAAATTACTTAAAATCGTATTTTTGTAAGTTTTTGATGTTCCAAGCAGCCTTGGGTAATATCAATTAACTTTTATTAAGTATATTTTCTATAAATTTAACAAAAAAAGAGAAAGTAAAACTAAAAATAGCATAAAATACCCAGAACTTAATGGTTTTTATAACTTTTTTGTTTTATCTACATATTTTCTTATTTAGTTTCAATTCTTTATTATTTGTTAATTTCACTTAGTACTCGTATGTAAATATGTTTAGAGTATAATTGCAAAAGTGTTGTCCTTGGTTTTGTTAAACCTGCAATGATCTACAAACAAAAATAAAAAGAAAATAAAATTTTCTTATAAAAAAATTAAAAAGAGAATAAAATTTCTATTAGCACTATCTGCCCCTTTCTGTTGCCCTCTAAAAAACACAAACATTTTTATAGTGCTTTGTCAAATAATTTTTATTAAAACCATAACATTAAAACCACAAATGGGACAGATAGATTTTAAAATTCATTTTATTTTATCGCTTTTCTGTATACAAAAAAATAATTACAAAACAATCGTCGTCAACAGTCTGTAATACAAAATTCTGCGAAACTCCACAAAGGTTTCCTAACAAATTGTCACATCTTCAAGACTTTAACTATAAAAAAGTATAGTATACTATTCACCTTTTTGTCAAGACTGAAACTATTTACAAACATCCTGAAATCCTGAAAATGTACGCACTGGTTACAAAATATTAAATCAAAATAAATATACTAAATAAAAATTAACAAATGTAAAACAAGACTTTGGCTGTCTTTCAAAACAATAACTTTATCTGTAAAATGGCAGAAAAACTTTGAATAAAAAAATAAAGTAGGTTAATAAAAAACAAGAAATTATATTTATTTAAAAATATTAAATTTTTTCACATTTCAAACGGTCTTTGTAAGATCTTTGTAGAAAATCGCTTGTTTTTTTGACACAATCTCTCGATTTAGGTCCATTTTTGGCTCTAAAATCTAAATTGCTCTAAATTAGCTGAAATTGCATTACTGTAATCTAAAACGACAAATTTTTGTATTTGTTGACAAAATCTCTCAACTCAAGTCAAATTTTGACTTCAACACGGGGTAATTCGTTTGAAATTAGAAAAACTGCCTTATTAAATAAAATTACATTTTTTTTTAGCAAAATCTCTCAATTTTTAAGACGGCTTTTCACCCTGAAATAAACTAAATTTCAGGAAATTAACCGAAACAACGTTATTATGACTAAAGAACGGCAATTTTTGTACTTGTTTTTTCCGACGTCTTGATCCAAAAAGTGATAAATTGAATTAGTCTACGAGTAAATCTTAGCTATTATAAAAACATTCTGTATAATCCTTTACCGAAAGCCAGATTCCAATTTCCAACTTTTGCGATTTTATGAATGCTTTTACTAAACAATCTAGATAAAAAACAAGTAAGTTTATAAAGTCTGATGTATTCGTATCCCAAAATTGTTGAATTGCAAAAATATGTGTTAAAACATCAATTTCAAATTATTTTTTTAATTAATTATACTTTTCTGAAACAATATATATATTTCCCTTTTGTGAAGCACCGAAGCAATTCTTAATTAAAACTTCTCTAGATGAACTCCTCAAACCTTTCCTTGGCAACCCATAATCCCAACGTAAAATTAAAAACGTCAGTCATTTCACAAACAATTAACTTCTCTTTCATTTTTCCATCTTCTTATCCCTCTTCGCGAGTTCAAAGTTCACGGCCCCCAGTCACAAAGCTCGACCGCCGTTCATTGTTAATGAACAATAAATTTCTAATCTGACCCCACCTGTTGGCACTCTCACTCTTGAAACTCCCATCGTTACGTCAACCATCGTAATTCGGGTGGACCCATTTCACCCATCATCGAGACGATGACCATCTGGTCGCGATTGATGATTGTTCACAGTTGAATAATAACGGAGGCAGTCGAACTGTGATGTATTATTACATCATTGTGGAAGTAGGGTTAGGACAATTATGGTAACATGTTATTATTTGGGTTAACATATTGGAAGTCTGAACTTGGTGAGCAATTTTGTCCATTTTCGATCGTAATGCTATTCATCAGGCGACGTGTAAACAAATTAAGGTTAATGGAATGGCTGTTATAAATTGCTCAATACATTTTTAATAAAAAATCTAGATTTTATTTTATGCACAGGGTGAGTCCCCAAAATCTCAAAAATCACAACTTGTGGATTTCCAGCGATTTTCGAAATTTATTCAAAAAATATTTGACAAAAAATAATATAAAATCTGAATAAAAAGAAAAAAAATTAAAATTAACATATACAGAATGTTTAGTTTTTTTGTAAAATTTTTCGAAAACCAAAATTTGAAAAAATATAATATTCAAAATTATCGCCTTTTTTCTTGAATTTGTAACGGTTTAAATAAGTTAGAACCATTTAATAATCTGTAAAATGAGTAAAAAACTACTTACATAAAAAACAATACAGTAAATGAAGAACAACAAACAAAATATGTGAATTAAAAAAAGTCAACCAATGTCCTAAATTTTTTTACAAAAACACTTTATTTAAAAAAATCGAAATTTTTTAATAAATTTCAAATGACCTTTGCAAAATTTAAGTAAGCAAAAATTGGTAACTCGTTTGGGATTCCCTGAAACAGCGTTATTATAACATAAAACAACAATTTTGGTTCTGGTTTCTGCAAAATCTCCCGATTTGAGTCAATTTCTGATTATAAAACGTAAACACACCATAGGAAACACGAAAATTTTAAATAATGCTAGTAATTCTCTATTTTTGCAATTTATTCGAAACTTTTACCATTAAAAAAAAATTAAAACTACATTGATTTTAATAGTATCCAAAAAATATTTGTTCTTCATTGTAAACTTTTTCAAAACCATCATTTTTTCCAACATTTTTGTAACTCTTTAAATAAATTTCGAATATTGTCTAGTTTTTTGGATAGCACAAAAGGTAAAAGTAATTATATTTAAATTTTTCCTTGGCTCAGTTCCCTGAATGATGAGTTGACCCACTTTAGCAATAAAGCTCTTTCACAAAATCACTCTTTTTAATCACTTATCTCTTCAAAGAGGCCAAAATGTTGCAACATTTTAATTTATGACAGTGGTGACGATTACATTGCTTGTCTCGAGATAATAACCGAGTTTGTTTAAGAGCACTATTATATAAGAAAATTTTTCAAAAAGAAGAATCGTTAAGGAGCGTTGGTACCACACCTGTGCATGTTTGGCTTCTTAGTGCTTATCCACCATGAATAACGCTCAGTTCTCATATTAATAATCGAATCGAGGCAGAGACAAATCGGCTTTCCACAGACCATTCTTCGGTATTAAAGGAAGTGGTTCAGGTGTCTTCTTGAACAGATAATGGGATAAAAAGGGATTTTGGTGACGATTTATAAGACAAGAATTTTTGTATATTAAAAGCGTCTCATTTGACCAAGAATCGAAAATTGTGTCAAGTTTGTAATTCATTCAAAAAACCGGAAAATACTCAATGTGTCGTCTGGAGCTTCTAGAATCACACGCTTAGAGACAAACTAATTATAATTATAATGAAACAAGTTGGAGAATGTCGAAACGATTACACATGTTTTAATTTACTAGACTCGAAAATAAATTGGTAAAGTAGTATCAAGATCGTCGAGAAATTTATGACAAAGTTTCATCACAATTGACAGTATACGTAGGTGCACTCTGAGATAATAATGAAATGATCTCGTTGACTGCATGAACGACCATTCCGTAATCGATGCTCAATCTCCGAAGGAACCTACATTGACACCTCCCTGAAATTGGTCTTTGTTGCACCATCGCTCCTGTTTATAATTTTCTACTCTAGCGTTTAATTACGCAATTTGCCTGCAAAATGAAATTACAAGCCTCTTTGCTCGCCCTTCGGCTGAAAAGATTGTATCGCTGTAATGATAGCAATGCATGAATGAGATGACAATCTGGGTCCGGAGCACGGAGAAAGGGCCACATGCGCCCTTGTTAATAATAATCATTGATGGTAAAAAAATATAATAATTCTGTACAGGACACAATAACAAAATATACCGTATGTCCCCGGAGTAAGTTTACAAGAGGAAAAAAAATATCTTTGATTTTACGCCAAAACTGCAAAGGAAAAACTTTTTTTGCTTTATGTGAAACAAGCAAATCTGCAATTAAAACTTCACTGTTCTCACTCAGTAGAAAAAAAAGTTAATTTTTCTCTTGATTTTGGACTTAGAATAAATTTTCTCTGCTTTTGAAGTCCTATCATATTGGCGG